AAGCACGCCCAGAGTGCATATCAGAAGTATAGTATCAGCCAGCATGCTTTTCTGCCTTCCACTTCTGTCTGTTCCCGGTGGTCAGAGGAAAGATCTCGTTTTCTTATCTGAGTTCAACAGAATAGTGGATGAAGTACCTGGTGTGGACATTGTGACCAGAGCCCCGAGTGACAACCTTGTGAAGAAACAGCTGCTCCCTCAAAGCTTTGTAGCAGGGATTTCTTTTAATGGGTAGTGAGAATTCAATAGAGGTGGTCTCTGCCCACAAACCCCTTACTTCCTATCCCTAAGGATGTGGGAAAGTACCTCCCTTCTGAAATCCATTGTAGAACCCCACTGCTCTTTCATGTAGATGAGCAGGTATGATGCAGGTTAGCTTGAGTACCATTTGAAGGATGCAGAGAACTGCTGTACAGTCACCTCACAGCAAGTCCCAGATGGATGGCGACTCAGGATTCATGGAACTGGCACTCAAACAAAGAAAGTGAAGGAAGAAAGCTCCAAGTGTCTAATGCAGCTGTTTTATGAGCTGCTACGAGCAGTCTCAGCTTGGTCAATGAACCTTAAGTGTGTGGTAAGGGTGGGAGTGGCTCAAGAAGGCTGTGGATTCGTTTCTTCCTCTCATACCAACTCTTTTCTTCTGGTGACCGACTTTGCCTTAGAGAGAGCCATTAACTTGCATTAAGGCTCCGACTCTGTTAACATTTCTTCCAAGTGCGCATGTTTCAGGGAGAGAAGTAATAAGAAGGCATTGAGGAATCCAGTGATTGATTGCTATTGATGGAAAAAAAATGGCCCAGATCAGCTTTGCAGGTTCTGGACCATATGCCGCAAGGGCAACTTGAACTAAATAGATTATTCCTTCACTTAGGATCTGTTTACCAGACTCACTGGCAAAACTGCAGCTGGTGGAGAAGAAACAGGCAGTGGTCAGTGTGACAGAAGGTGAGGTATACACTCAAGATGTCCCTGGCCAAGTTGTCTCTGCAATGGGGTCACCAGGGGGCTATCAGATGAATGGAGATGCTGACTCTATTAACTCTTGCTTTCTCTTATGCCCCATTGCTGTGGTCACTCAGCAATGTGTGTGGGAGGAGGGGAATTCTTTTATAGGAAACAATAGTTCTGTGCAATTTTCTTATTGCCAGTTTTCTGTGTCCTGTATCCTTCTCATCCATGTTGGTGGTGGTGGTGTGTGTGTGTGTGTGAGGCTGTCTCAGGCCCAGAATTTACATTGCTGCTTCTTTTTCCTTTTTCCAACTTAAAAGAACAATTATTGAGGTCCCTGGGTCAGAGCACAGGGGCTGGAGGATTACACCCAGTAACGTACAAGAAAGAGGAGGCTCATTGGGTCAAGCAGAAATTCTAAAGGGTTTGACTCCCATTAATGTGCTAAATCTTTATAGAATTAGACTTTAAAGTCAAGAGCATAAGCCAATCTAGTTGGAGCTAAAGGTATTTAAACAGTAAAAGGAAAAAATTCCTCTGGTCAGGTTTATCAATTTTTCCTATGGATAACAGAACAGAAGGAAGCAAATACATTTATTGTATGAGTCACTTAGATCCCAGAGACACCTAGGACAGGATAGAGGAAGTGGCATCAGGCCCAGGAGAGGCATCATATGTCTATCCATCCATCTGTCCATCTATCTGTTGGACCATGCATCTAGCACTTCTTGGATATTTATGTACCAGCCTCTGAAGGTATGGTGATGCTGAAGATACAGGTTTTGCCTACATTGAGCTTTGGGTTGAAGAGGTACAGACAAAACCATGAACCTTTTCCACATGGTGTGGGGAGTGCTAAGACGGTGCTGCCCACGGCAGGACCAGAAAGCCTCTCTCTCTCCACCTATGAAAGGAGAACCTCTTCTTGTCTGCAGAGACCTGTGTGCAGTGGGCACGGGGAAACTCATTTCTGAAACAGATGCTGGAAGGTGAGCCCCAGGACTCACTGCTCAAAGATGTGGACTGCCTAAGCAACCCCTTCACAGCTGCTTGCCCCTGCAGGGTGTCTCATACACTTCAAAGTGATGTCTGCATTCAGCATCTCCCTTGATCATCCTGCCTTAGGTTGACAGGGTAGGCAACTGCAATCCCAGAGGACCTAAGGTCACATGATCAGCTGGGACCAGAGCTGGCTGCTGATGTACTTTGCTGTCTCATTTCATGAGTGAATTAGATGGAAGGTGAGTGGAGGAACTGGAGATGGAGCTCAGATAGGCAAGAGGACAGAGGTCCTTGGTACGCAAACCCTCCTTTATTGTTGTGACAGAAACAACTTGATTGGAACAAGGAAGGACTCCTTACAGCTCCTGGGTTTCGGGGGAGGGTATTATCAGTACATTATGGTGGAGGAGGTGTGTTTGGGGTGGGGTTTGGCTGTGGTGGCAGTTGCTTGTGGTAAACCTTGTTTGCATCTTGCTGTGTCAAGAATTAGAGGGTGCTGTGCTACAATGACAGGTGCATATCGTCTCTGGAGCCCTCCTCATACATTTCTTCTGGTTAGATCACAGTCTCAAGGCTCCACAGCCTCCCAAATAGAGCTGCTAGTTGGGGACCAGGTACTCAAACATACAGACCTGAAGGGAATACTTCAGTCTTACCCCGTCCCTTTCCTGGAAATCCTTCTGAGGACTCCCCATACCACTGTGCTATGAGCAGCGTGCTGCCCTTATACAGTACCAACCTCCTCTCTGGGCTGGAAGCAAGGGAGAACTCAGGCCTTCATCTGGGACTCTTTCAATGATGCTGCACCAGCTGGCTAGGTGTTGTCTCAGGAAAAGAAAGGGCTGGAGCCAACTCAGTATAAAGGGGCATTTTTACTTGGAAGACTGCAGGATGCTGGGCTCCCATTGGTATCAGAGTGAAGACCATGGCCCGGCCAGTCCCTTCCCTTCCAGGAGTAGGAGGACAGCAGGAGGACTCTTATAGTGCTGACATTGTCATCCTGAGGCCTACCTGATGAACGTGGTAACTTCTTTATAGTGACTACACCCTGGAATGGGAGGTGACGAGGCAACCTTTGTTGACAACAAATGGTATATACATCAGATAGGCACCCAGGCAGCTGGCTGCTACAGATGTGTACAATCTGAGGGATGCCTTCCATAGTCTCCTGATCACAGTGGATATTATTATTGTTTCTTATAACCCTAAGAGCCTTGGGCCTGAGAGCAGGTGATGGTCATGACTCTGCTATTAATGATTCATTCTTTTGTGTCTTTCTCATGTCTCTGTATCATAAGAAACCTAATAGGATAGCAGGACAACACTAGTTTAGAGAAATAGTGGCATACGGAGAAAAAATTCTGGATAATGGGAAAAGAAACCGTCAGAACAAGAGGTCAGGGTGATAGGACGGATATGCAGATAAATGTGCACATTCAGTGAACCTCCACTCTGGGCAGAGGGAAGATGCTTCTGTTTAGAAAGCAGAACTCTTGTTCTCCTTTTGTGTCCAAAAGCCCTTGTGAGCTGCTTTTCAGACTCTGGATACAGAGCTAGGGCCTTTGAGTGACAGTCCATCCCAGACCGAGTGCTGATGCTCCACCTACCTTGCCAGGCTTGGCTAAATAAAGACCTGGTCCCAGTGGGGAGCCACTGGGGTTGAGAGCTCTCCTGGGGGTGCCAGGAAGCAGGAGCGGTTCAGGAGTCTTGGCAGAAGCAGCTACTGCCCCTATCTATCTTAGCCGAGTAGCCTGGCAGATGGCCAGTGCCTGAGAGAAGCTGAGGGGTTGTTCCAGGCAGCTGGGGGCTGTCAAATACAGCATCCATCCCAGCCCAAGGCTGGGTGTGGTAAATACATGCCATCCACAGGCGGCAGAGCAGTGAAGGCAACCAGCAAGGCAAGCCAATGGCCGGGGTTTTGTCTTGCCATAGCTCTGCAGGAGAGCTGTTTCCTGGCTTATTTATGCTGTGATGGGTAAGCCTGCAGGCAGTAAGATGGACAGCCCTTTTTGGAAGTCTGGTGAAAGGAGTTCAGCTCAACACCAGCTGTGCCCAGCTTATCTCGGGTGACATAAAGACATGTCCCAAAGTGCCTTGGGTACTTTTTCTGTGTTCACTTCCCCCAACAGCCACCTGTCCTGGGAAAGGTCTTGAGAGACGTAGCACATCAGCAGGCTAGATTTTTTTTCTTTAGTGAAAGTTCATCCCTTACCATAGGGTGAGAAGGACCTGCTTTCTGGTCTCAGATCTGAAGCTTGCTGGCATATGCCATGACCTTGAGTGGGCCATGACCTTAGCTATGTTGTGAACTGTCTTCAATCCAAGTTGGTCCATTTTGAAGGGAGGCTAGTTTTGGTCATGTCTTCCTCTGAGATGCCATAAGACCTGGATGGGGTGGGTGTTTGTGCTGTGTGAGGCATTGCATCTCCGTCAGAGGGTACATGAATTAAGGCTGCAGCTCCATCCTGCCCCCTCTCCCTCCAAGCAAGCAGGTTTTTCTTTATCTAATGGGTTATGCTGGAGCTTGAGGCACTCCTTGGGCTAGGTGAGGTCACAGGACAGTCCCTGGGTCTTGGGAAGATGCTTGACAGAGAGATCCCACCTCTTGCAAAAGATCCTACCTCTACAGGGCATGTGAAGCACCAGAACACTGACTGACATCAGTTAGAGAAATCAATGTCCCGGAGTGCTGCAGGCCTCTCTCTTCCTATTCTGGTCTCCTTCACCCTGCTGTGAAGCCTTGCTCACTCTGAGAGAACTGGAAGGTTTAGTTAACCCCCAGGCTAGCACCTTTTTTTTTTCCCCAGGGATGTGCCTTGGGATACTAGTTGGGGTTCTGTCATCATTAGAGAGCAACAAGGGCTGGAAGAGAGCTAGGTAAGCTCAGGGATAATCCAGGAGCAGGACACAGGGCTAGATATCTTAGGAGCTGCTTTATGTGGACAGGTTCCTTCCTAGCCTCAAGCCGTGAGCTCCAAGGATGAAGCCAGACAGGTCCAAAGTATAAATAACAAAAAAGGTTTTAATTCTCATGATTCTTTTTTTTCCAGACAGGGCAGGGAGAAAGGAATTATCTCAGATGTCCTTAATGCAGGCACAGAATTTACAAATTCTGGGCGGCTGTCATTTTGTTTATTCATATGGTACCCAGATTGACTAATGCAAGACCCTAGATCCCAGCTGCCTGACTTCTTTGTATAAGGTAAACCACGAACCTGACCCATGGATTTATCATAAGAATTAACAGAGTGTTAAGTTATATCGCACCATCAAGTTAACTACTAATTTCTTTTTTCTTCCCACGACAGAGCCCACAAAATGAGAGCTGCTGTCTTTATTCCAGCCTGGCGATTCTTGGGTAGATGGCAATTTTCTCCTCCCCTTCACGGTAGTCCAAGCTGTCACCAACATCCTGCTGATTCATCTTAGAGTGCACTGCCTCTGACAGCCATCTCCTGCCCATGCCCACTGCCATCTCCTGTTAGGGGCCTTCATTACCTCAGGCCAAGACTGTCACAACTGCCTCCCAACTGGTGTCCGTCTTTCATACACTTGTCATATCACTATCACTAAAATTATGATGTCACATACCTGCTCAGTCCTTTAGTGACTCCCAGAGGGCTCAAGTTTAAAGCCTGTGGTATGTGGTCCTCTACTATATCTCCCAGTTGGATCTGTTAGATCGCCTCCCACTAAGCCTCTTCCACTTGTGCCCTTGGTTCCTCTCAGTGACTGGATGTCTCAGTCCTTCCTCACCTCAGTAGCCTCCTATATAACTGCCATGTCCAAAATGTCCTTAGCCAAATCTGTTCAAGTCTCCAGAGAGAACCTCACTCCGTGAACAGTGAGATCTCTTTGGACAGCGATCCCAAAATCAAGGGGCATTTTCTTTCCTCCTCTCACTGGGATCCAGTTTGCCTTAGTCTTGTTCCCTTTCTTTTCATAGAGACATGACTAACTCCGTCTCCAAATGTTTCCCTGGTAGACACCCCAGCTCTATTCCCGCAGCCTTTGAAACAGTTTTGAGGAAGGATAAGGTAAACTTGCTCTGGGTCGCTAATGGTGACTATCCTCACTTAGGCTGCTGTCCTGTGGAATTTTGCTTTCCTGGACCCCACCTTGCTGCACCTGTGCTCACATAGGGGCTATCTCCTGGACACAGATGGACACAGTACCCTTCTGTGGTTCCTTGTGTGTCTTAGCATGATGGGGGCGCTATCTTATTATTTTTAAAAATTTGATTGGTTTCCCTTTGGAGGGTAAGGAAGGGAGCTCCAGCCTTCTTCCTTATACCAAAAGAAGAGATCCTGGACTATGTGTGGTGGTTACTCTGTGCTTCCTTATTCCTCGCTGTCCTTGCTCTTGAGGGAATCTTCTTCACAAGACAAAGGAGAGAAGGCAGTAGATTTCATGTGTCCTCTTCCCCACCCCCTGCATGTTATAGTGCTCCATCTGTGTCCAGGGGATAGCCCCTGTGTGAGCACAGATGCAGCAAGGTGGGGGCCAGGAAAGCAGAAAAGAACACAGGGTATCTTAGGTGTGAAAGTGCATCATGTCTCATCTCCCAGAGGACACCACGCTCCCTTATAACTTACTCTTGCAAGAGCATGTCCCATCTTTTAGAAAGCTCTTTCTGCTTCTCTTGAAACCTCACTATTGTCTGATCTTTGCTTCCCATTGCTCTTAGCTCTGTAACCCCATTCACACTCTGGACCCAGTAGGAAAGGGGTGAGCCAGGCATTCTGTCAGCAGCTTTGGGTGCAGAGTCCTGTCTAATCTCTACAAACCCAGTTTTAAGAAACATCCCCACTTTCTACATGAGCTAATTGAGGCCCAGAGATTAAATTGCCCTCTGCTTAATACGTTCTCCTCAGCAGATCCTGGCAAACGGACAGTGTGTGCCCTATCGAATAGTGCCTTAGACTGGCAGTTGGCAGAAGGTGGTGGATGTTGGTGCAGAGAGGAGGGAAGAGGGCTCAAGGAAAATATGTCCCATAGTGACAACAGGGCAGAAGGTGGTGGTGAATATTTCCCAATGTCCTTTGTGAGGCCTGGATGGTCCTGAAGGCTGAAGCACCACAAGTAACTCACCTCCTGCTCCCAGAATCCCCCACTCGGTTCCCATGGGAACTCAGCAGAGCTCATTCTTGGCTGTCTTCTATGGCTTTCTCAGCCCACTTAGCTAGTTTTCAGAACCCTCTACCCTTAGTACTGAACTGGGGCTAAGTGAAGGTAATGTCTGAGCAAAGGAGTGTTTGCTGAGCAGTAATTTTGAAGCTTCTAGGGTATCCTTGAAGGAGAGGCCTTTAAGGGAGGTGGGGGTAACACCTGGATCATCAGAAGGGTCTGGAAGTAGGTGAGCCAGTGAAAGAGGCTTAATTTATTTAGTGGTGAAGCTTCCAGCCTCTGGCTTCTGGGCTAAGAGTCCCTAGAGGTATATCTCATTGCTTTTCATCTTTTAACCTACACTTGGCTGACGTCAGATCGGTAAGTTCCTCAATTTTGGAAAGAACCTCGGAGACTCAGGGAAGTAAGAAACAGCAGCAGCCTGGAGGAGGGGCAGAGAGAGATCAGCCTTCTGCTGCTTCAGTTCTTAATGTTGGAACTGTCTCCTACCCAGCTATCACAGTGGTGTTATTATTATTGGATGTAGGGTCTAGGACCATTGCCTCTCAATGGCCAGATGAGACGCCTGTTCTGTGCCTTCCCGCCTAAATCCACAAGATGGAAGTTGCTCCCTCTAGCTTTCCCACTAGCAGCTAAGGCTGCTGGTTTTGTGAGTGACCCTTTTCTTCACACTAAGAGCACTAAGCAAAATTCTAGCACTTCCTCTATTCCATCGCCTTAATAATTAACAATGTATTTTAAAAGACACTCCCAAATAAGCTTGGGATGTTGACCGCTTTTTTTTTTTTTTTTTTTTTTTTTGGCAACGTGGAAAGTTGACGAAGCATCTCCTAAACCTGGCCCCAGGACTGAAAGATATAGGAGTGCAAAATCCCAGGGCAGCTGAGGGTGTGCCAGAGAGGAGCAAGGAGCTAGGATGCCCAGTGTGTGTGGACTGTATGATCCCGGGAGCGCTGCGGCGTGTGCACCCCTTGTCTGACGCCCTGCCACCTCGGTCAGCAACCGCACTTCGCCTTCAACCCTTTTCCAGCCAGACGCTTCTTTTTCGGTGCTTCTGGGCTTTTATTGTAAATTCTATGCCTAAAATACGCCGGTGAGCTGGGCCCAAAGACAGATGGATCAGTTGTCCCCCTTCCCGGCTTGGGGAGGAGTCTCCATCCGGAAGGGTTCCCACCCGCAGCTTCGGGAACCGGGAGTGGCCTTAGTTCCCTGACTAGCTCTAGGGAGTCCAGGAGATCTCTGTGTGCAGTATGCGAGTGGGAAGCGAAGGCCTGGGTGCCCCTTGTCTTGGGGCGCCCCAATAGGGTGGGGTGTCAACCCGGGCTGGATACTTCCAGCGCGGTTGTGGCTGGTTCACTGGCCTTGGAGGAGGTAGTTGGGACCCCTAGACAATCTTCTCTCTGGTCCGGGGAAGGAGAGACCAGCGGGGGAAGAGGTGTCTGGAATGGCTGCAAAGCTGGTGTGTGTGTGTGTGTGTGCCTGGTTGGGGAGCGCGCGCGGGGTGGGGTGGCAAGCGAGGCACCAGTGTGCGGTAAAAGTTCCTGAGCTCCGCATGCAGAACACACGTGTAGGAGCGTGCGGTTAGACCCAGGGAGACAGGACTGGCCTACAAGGGCGTCTTTGGGTTCCACAGTGCTTTTGGGGAGACGCTCAGATCGGCTCCCCACGAGGAATACATCAGCTTGCAGAGAGGGATGCTCTCTTCCAGACCTGGACCACCACGCCAGGGTTTTTCTACTGCCCTGCCCCCACGCCTCCAGGATGGCTCCAGCACCTCAGTGTCCCCTAGCCTCGCTCAGGCTTCCAAAACCTCATGGCCCTGGTGGTCTAGTGCGGGGGCAGTGGCACTTGGAGAACGCAAGCCTTCGCCTAGCCAGGACGAGACATTGCATGGAGAGGTGGGGGAGAGAAGCTTCGTTGGTTTGAGCGTGGACACTGGCCGTGGCATCTAGTCGGTTTCCGGCCAAGGCAGCAGACTGGTCCCAGGAAGGGCAGGCAGTTGAGCCGAGGGAGTCAGCGGTGGAGCTCACCCCTAGGCCAGTGTTCCCGGGCGCCAGCGCCACTCCGGTGCTGCTTCCATCGCCGCCGAGTCGCTACTACGGCTGCTGCAGAGTGTAGCTGCTCCGCCGCGCTCCCGCGCTCCGCGCCGCCAGCCGCCAGGGAGTCGGGGCGCTGAGCCCTGAGCAGAGGAGAGGGGCGAGGCGCGAGAGCCTAGGCGAGGGAGCTGCGAAGGGGGAGGGAGCGGGCGGAGGGAGGAGCAGGGAGAGAGGGAGTAGGGAGAGAGAGAGAGTAGGGAGGGGAAGAGAGTGAGGGAGAGCGGAGATCCAGAGCAAAGAGCGAGAGCGAGGAGAGGAGAGGAGAGGGAGAGAGGGAGGGAGGAAAGACACACGCAAGCACGGGCACACCGGCACTGGAATTCCATTAGAAAAAAGTGAGCCGAGCAAGGGTTAGCAGGAGAAGATTTTTTTTTTTTTGAATCTTTTTCTTCGTCTTGGTGCCAAAGAAGCGACTCTGGTTTCCCGTCCTAGAAGCTCCTACTGGATTGCTCCTATTCCGTCGGTGGATTTCTTTCCTATTTGCATTTATTCTGACCCCCTCCCTCGCTGCTTTCTTCCAGCCCTTCACTTTCAGATCGCCTCGCCCCCACCTCTCCAGTCCCCTCCTGGGAAGTGCAGGGGAATTGGACCCACGGGGACTCACGCCTTCCCGGACACGCGAGCGAAGGGCTGGGCTGACCTCAGGACCAGGCTGTTGGCTTAGAAGGCAGCCAGACACATAGCTACGTGTGTTTGATTTCAGTGGCAAGGGGGGGACGTCGAGAGGCAGCCCACCGCCCGCCTCCCACCCCTCCCCCTCCAGCCAGCAGCGAGAATCCCAGGACTCGGGGTCTTCAACCGGCGGTCGCCTGGCGGGATCTCCGCATTGGATTTGGGGGTCGTTATCATTGCTTGGCTGTTATTATTATCGTTGTTATTTTATTTTTATTTTTTAAACCTAAGGGAGAAAGACACATACACACAAAACTGTGGGATTTATTTAACATGATCTTGGCAAACGCCTTCTGCCTCTTCTTCTTTTTAGGTGAGTACCTGCAGGTGGCGAGTCTGGGGGCCACAAGGGGCTGCGCGCATTCAGTCGCCCACTGGAAGCTGGGCATGAGGGGGTGGGATTGGGGGCTGCGAGCAGGGCGCCGCGGGAGACACTGGGAGAGCGCGCCGAGCTGGGAGACGGGGCCTGGGGCTCCGGGGAGGCGAACTGCCAGGGAGACTCTGGAGGAGGGAGCTGTGCAGTGGCTGGCTAGTTGCGCGGAGGACTGAGAAGGAGACTTCCAACATTCAAACCATCTCCGCACGCACTCCCGCGCCGGGCGCGCACACACCGACACACACACACTCTTACTTCCAGGCCTTGATAACACTCATTTTCCTCAAAATAAAGGGTTCAATTTGCAACAACTTAGGAAGGAAGAAAATGGAACTTTTGGTGTGAAAGAAAGGAGGGAGGGGAGAGGCTGGCGGGGAGCTATCGAGTCGGTGGGTTTCGGCAGGAGGTCCTGGTTTGGACGTTTGCGGGGCACCCTCATAGTCACCTCCTACTTGCCAATCAGTCTCAGGAACGCACCCTATCTCTCCACTCTCGGTAGCACTTTGCAAGTTTCTTCCTACCCACTGCCTCCCTTTCCAAGTCAGATGGGTGGGTGGAGCTCATGCTTGGAAATGGGTGTTCAAGGCCTTCAGAGCAACGACCCTGGGGCCTAGGGTTAGTGGCATGGGAAAGAGGCCAAAGTTTGCTCCTTGGAAAGAAGAAGATGGTGTGGGGAATGCAGGAAAAAGTGGGGGGGGGCAGATCTTAACAAAGACCACATACTGCTCATCCTGTAAGCCCCTTCCCTCTGTGACAGGGAAGAGTGGCTGTCTAGT